ACGCAATCAATATTTGACTGAGCAGGAATAGCTTTGATTGTCGGCTATTTATGATTTAACGTTCAGTAATTGGTCCTGCCTGATTCTGTACTTTTTCGTTTCGTAATAAATTCCAGTCCTCTGTTGGCCAATTTGTTGTAAATTATTGTCCATTAGGCAACCCCCCGCCACGGCCGTGTTTCCGTGGCAACAACAATTAAAATTCATTTTCAACATAGCCAAAAGCCGCGGGTGCCGGCTCAATCTGTGCAGCAGTTAACAAGCGGCAGATCGCAGTAGATCGTGTGAAGATACATTCGAAAATTTGCATATACCATATGCCTTTTGCATCCCAGACGAGAGTCGCGAGATAAGCGTAAAGCGAAGAGTGGCGTGAAATTCCTGGAAATTAGTGCGTCGCCGGCGGCAAGCGGCTTCTGTGTCAAACAAATGTCAAAAATCTATACAGATGCGTCAGTAGACATGCGTACGTATACATATATGAGCCAGTGTGTCGTTATGTGTGTCCAATTGTCGTCGACGTTAAGTGGCGCACAGTGGGCGCCACAGTTGATTTGTGCGCTCAAAATTCATGGCACAGCTGCACTGGCTTTGCTTACATCTGGCAACCGGTTTAACCGGCTGTCAAACTTGATTTTCCTTGCCTCAGTTATCATCCAGTTATCAAAATGTTAAATATATTCTCAGAATTGTCAGTGCTGCCATCTTTTAGTGCATTGCACATATGGCGTCGATGCGGCGTTGCCACACGATTAAATTAAGCCAAGTAAATGCCTTTTAACTTCATGTTAAAATTTATCTTCAAACCAAAAAAAAAAATTCAAATATATTGTGTTAATAAAGCGCCGAGTTCTTGAGCCGAGAAATTGCACATTTGTTATTGATAAGTCTTGTTGGGATTTGTTATTTATTTTTCTGTCCGATATTACCCGTTGTGTGCACTAAATTCAAAACAAACTAAGGGCTCGCCATGGCCATATTCTTAATGTTCCGGTGCCTATGCTCAGGAATTGAGCTGCTCGAATGGGTAGCTGTTTAATTTGATATACATATATTGAATACAGCTAATCGCCCGCAGCACTTATATCATTTAATGGCTGCTTAATTGGTTCTTAGTGCTTCATTTACGGTACTAGAAAATGTATCTATCATATGACGAGGGCCAATCGACAAGCACTGCATAGTCTGGAAATGATTCTGCGAACTCCACACTGAGGGCATCTCCTTTGCTTTCTATATAATGACCCGATACGCCTAATTGGAATAGTGGTACGTTGAAGTCCCCATTGGGTTTCTATAATAGAAAGCTATGCTCATCGTGTTCAATTACGTAAACTATTCGAACTTACCGAAATGTCCAGATAGAATTCCAAAGGTGAGCTATCTATGCCATATGTAAAGTAGATATGGTATGATAATGGATGGGCTGGGGGATCCTCAAGGTAACTGTGCTCAAAGGACCAGTTGCTCACGGTCACGAAGTCATCTTCATAGGGCTGGATGAACAAGCTCATATGATCCGGGCCCACCAATTTGAATTCAAATCGAGCCGTTGTATTGTTCTCCAGTATGGTTTTACTTAAAAGCGTCAGTTGGGTTTTAGCCGGTGGTTCAATGGGTATCTCCCGTGGTAACCATACGCCCTCCAGGCGATTGTCGACCCAACGTTCATCGTATAAGGGTACTCCGCACATCATGTGCTTGTCACAGTCGGATCTCATGTTTTCCGCACCTGCCATGCGCATCGTCATGGGTGCCGCCTAGCGTCGATCTTGGAAACTGAACAGATAACCGGACTCATCCTTGCTAATGGTGCCATCGTACTCGTAAAAGATTTTGCGCACATGCTGGCAAATGGAATGCATTAGATTAAAATCGACCAATCATAAGATCAGTGAATACCTGATAGGACACCCGCTCACTGCTCGCCTTGGGACGATAGGGAAATCCGATTTGAGTGCCAGTGGCGAGGATCACAGTAATCGCAGTTACTGTCAGAATGCTGAGCACTATTAGATATGGACGACGGAACATGTTGATCAGGGGCATCTAAGCGTGCAGACCATTAGCTTTTAATCGGAGAAGTTGCGAAGATAGGAGCTGACTTACCAAGAAGCCAAACGCCATAATCGCACCCAAAGCAGCCAAGCCAGAGATAAATAGATCTGGATTCATGGAGCTGCCGGAACGCCCACTCATTGGTATCACCACGACGAGGAAGAGGTAGAAGAGGTAGCTACTGTACAGGAAAGGCATCACCTGGCTAAGCATTACCAGGCCCGTCCAACTGTAACCACGATCATGGAACGTCGTCAATAGATTAAGTGTCAAGGAACTGCCATAGAAGATAATCATAATTGTGATAATATAGACGGAACGCAAGCCATAGGCGGTCACTCCCAAAGCCAAAAGAGCCAGAACGACGGCCCAACTATGCAGAGCCAGTTGCAGGTGGTGGGGGAAAGGCAAGTTGTTCTGGAAGGAATAAAGTTTAGCTACCTCGAGCAGTTTAACTAATCGACGTCTACACTCACCTTCGTTTTCAGCTGATAGTAAATTGTGATGGGAAGACTCAGCCCGATAAGCGAAGGGCAAACATAAAGGCCGATCAGAAGCGATAGCGAGCTGAAGTAGGTCAAGGACGAGCCGAAGCTATCTAAGATACAGGCGATTAGCAGAGGCAGTGCCAGGCCTAGCCCCAGGGCCAGAATCTGTAGAATCAGCAGTATCAAAATACGCTTCAGTACGTGAGCAAAGGACAGGCTAGAAACGGCTGACATGCGCCACATAGAGATGAAAACCAGGATGAGCATAGTTCCAGCCGCACAGTAGTTCAATATTTGGCCAGTTTGGTCCGAGTAGCTGATGAAAAACAGGCCCAGGAAGTCAAAGAAAACTGCGTGTCCTTCTTCATGTGCCTATTTCAAGTGAATAGTATACCAAGTCCTGTTCATATTATAATCAACTAAAATGTTACCTCTGTGTCGTGCAATTCGGTTGCATTCGCCAAAGCGCGCACTAGGCTGAGAATATTATCACCCGTATTTTGCATAGCGCCGCGAGGAATCACATCAATGCGATCGTACTTGGTGTGATATATATAGCCATTGATCACCTGGGCTATGTCGAGGCCTAAACAGTCAACGAAATCAGTCAAACCTGTTTAAGAAGATATTGCCTTAATTCCTGGTAATACCTGGTATATTGCCATATTGCACAAAGGCAGCGTAATCTGTATCCGACGGAATCACGCCCGACTGAAACACTTCCTCGCCCAAAGTCGTGGCAAACGGGTGCTTGGCGCTCTTCTTGTAGTACTGTAAGAACGTTAAAGGTCTTAAGGCAATGCATTAACTCAAGAATGCCCTTTAGGTTCTTACGTCAACGAGCCACGGATGGGAGGGTCCACTTTGAAACAGAATGTCGCGTCCACCGCTGCCCGCAGCATCCAAATTGACGACAGCTCTGTAAATGCAGTTCTTGAATTGGAAATTTCCTTGAAAAGTGAACTAACCCGCAACATACTTGCAATTTGGTGCCCATTTGTGTTGCGTAATAAAACCATGGGATGCCTGCAATGCAGTCTCCTCAGCTCCATTGAATAGGAAGACGACGGGATGCTCGAAGGGCTGCTCCGTTGTGGCCATCACACGTAACACCTCCAGCATGGTGGCGACCATGAAGCCATCGTCCCCCGCTGCCGGGGAAGTTATCTGCGAATCGAAATGGCTATTCACCAGCAGATAAGACTCGCTTGTCGAGTTCTTCGAGCTCAATTTCACAATTATATTCTGTACGCCCTGGTACATGTTGAGCATGTTGCTGTATATAAGTGCGCCCGAGGGACGCTGAATGTCTATCTCCATGGTGAAATAGTCCTGGCGTAGAACTTTCCTGATCTCCGCAAGTTCTTTGAGCAAAAAGAGCACAGTCTCCACCTCGTTGGCATTGCTGCCCACCACCTTGGGGCCAATGTTGACCAGATTGTTGAGCGTGTTATAGGCGCGATCTCCAATGAATTCGCCATTCTTGTCATCCTCGATTGTCAGCGCTGTGGGCAGGCGATAGAAGAGGGGTATGACCACTGCGAAGAAGAGTAGGACCCAGAAGAGCAGGAATCCAGTGCCAAAGTACCAGGCTGCCTTTACGTTGATATCGCTTTTGGCCAGATTTTTGGAGAGCACATCGCCATTTTCTTCCGATATCTGCGCGTTGGTTTCACGTTTAGCAAAAATTATATCACTTGTTGTTTATTAACGCCTTTACCAGATTATCCTCATCGCTCATTTTGCTAACTATTTGGTTTTTTCCGTACTGAACCCAGCGTATCGAATTGCTCAACTAGCAAAACCACCAAAATGTAACACTCTTTTATAGCATGGAAAAGAATAGTCATAAAATCGGGGTTTCTGGTCAAAAATTTTAAAAATATATAATTTTATAGCGCCAATGATTCAGTATAAAAGTGATAACAATAAATACGAGGGCGGTTCAATACCTAAAAGTGATATATAAAAAGAAATAACCGACAAGGACTACAAATCAAACTAAATTGAATAAAAAAATGGCATAATTTTTATATTATTATTATTATTTATTCATACTTAATATCTAAATTGTTTTACCTTGTGTAAAAATACATAAGATTCTAGCTCGCATCTCAAATAATCGCAACATTTCCAACTGCCCTCGTTAGCCAAATTTACAGCCATGATTAAAGAAGCACGCTTAAAACGACGGCCCCGGTCATGATGATATGGAACACACACGCCATAGGATCTTGAAAATAAGCCATAATCTGCTGTCATAAATATATATAATCTGCTTTAATCTGGAAAATTTAATTTTGGTTCGCCAATGTCTGTCTGTTGCAGTCTAATCAGTCATCACTCTACGGATAATTCCAGCTGCTGCACAAGTCCCCAAGAAATTTTTAAAAAAATTTACGTAGTGATTGCTTAGCTTATCGCGTGGTAGACTTCTTGTATTTATTACCATATTGATTAAAACATTATCGCATAATAATAGGCTACTAGGAACTTTCGGCAGTGCTTTTACGTAACGAGTGATTCCCCATCATGACGTAGTCTTAGTCATCCCATGATTCTTCCGTTCGACTCTACTCGACCCCCAAGAAGGTTCACAAGACCCAGACTATTGCATTTTATATGTTCGAAATCGCTTAGAGTTAAATTATTTAGAATATATATCTTTGATATAGGGAAGGCCAATCGGTTATGACTGCATACGAGGGGAATGTTGAGGCGAACTTCACGCTATGCTCGTCGCCCTTATTTCCAATATTGTGCGACGATACGCCTAGTTGGAACAGCGGCACATTGAAGTCCCCATTCGGTTTCTATAAAATGCAAATATACTAAGCATACCAAAGACCCAAAAGTAATTGTATCATTTACTTACTGTAAGATCCAGACTAAACTCGAGAGCTGAATTACTTCCATAGGTAATGTACATGTGATACGCCAGCGGAAGAGCTGGCTTCTGCTCCAGGTAACTCCGGGAGAAGGACCAGTCGCTCACAGTGACATAATCATCCTCATAGGCTTGCACAAACAAACTCAAATAGTTCGGCCCCGTCAAGCGGAATTCAAAGCGCACAGTTTTCGTATCATTCAACACTGTTTTGCTCAGCAGCTCCAGATTGGCTGGTTTTGGTGGCACGATGGGCTCCTCACGTGGCAGCCACATGCCCTGCATACGATTGCCCACCCAGCGTTCGTCGAACAGAGGCACCCCACACATCATGTGTGTATCGCAATTGGACGTCTGGCTTATCGCGCCAGTTAGATTCACGCCGGGAAACGCTTGTGCTTGACGCCTATCCTGGAAATTGAACAAATAACCGGAGTCATCCTTGCTAACGCTGCCGTCGTACTCGTAAAATATTCGGCGCACGTGCTGGTACAAAGAATACAAATATGTTTTTAAGAACAAAAGCTCGTCGCAGTTGCTGCCCAAAGTACCTGATAAGCTACTCGCGCACTGTTGGTCCTCTGGCGATAGGGAAAACCGATCTGAGTGCCACAGGCTAGGAATATCGTAACGCCCGTGACAAGCAACAGGGTGAGCAATACCGACCAGGGTCGCCGGAAAATGTTGGTCAAAGGCAGCTAAAGAGACATCCGATAATGCAGCTGAATGGGGAAACAATTGAAGCAGACTCACCAAAAATCCAAAGGAAGTCACAGCGCCCAGTGCTGCCAGAGCAGCAATAGTTGTGTCCGGATTGGAAGCACTACCGGACCGACCATTCATGGGCGTCAGCACCACAATGAATATGTAGAAGAGGTAGCTACTGTACAGGAAAGGCATCACCTGGCTAGCTATGACCAGGCCAGTCCAACTGTAGCCACGATCGTGGAACGTCGTCAAAAGATTTAGGGCCAAGGAAATGCCATAGAAGATAATCAGAATTGTGATAATATAGATGGAGCGCACGCCATAGGCTGTTCCTCCTATAGCCAGAAGAGCCAAAACAACGACCCAGCTATGCAGAGCCAGTTGCAGGTGATATGTGATAGGTAATTTATTCTAGTAATGGTAAATATTAAGTGGGCACTTAAATCAAATAAAATAGTTTATGTACTCACGTTCTGCTGCGACTGATAGTAGATGGTGATTGGAAGACCTAGACCAATTAGCGCCGGGCATATGTACAAACCGATCAGCAGCGCTGGAGAGCTGAAGTAGGTCAACGATAAGCCAAAGCTGTCGAAAATATAGGCTACTAGTAAGGGCAGTCCCAGGGCTAAGACGAAGGCTATAATCTGTAGAATCACTAGGAATATAAGACGCTGCCAGACACCGCATGAGGACAAGCGAGCAACGGCTGACATGCGCCACACCGAGATGAAAACCAGGATGAGCGTGGCACCTGCTGCGCAGTAGTTCAAAGTTTTGCCCGTTTTCTCGGAGTAGTTGACGAAAAATAGGCCCAAAAAGTCAAAGTACACAGCTTGGCCATTTTTATATGCCTGTTGTTGGATTATACAAAAGTTAGTGTATATATACGAAAAGTTTGTCCTGACTGACTGATAATTCTAAGGGTCTAACAAGCGAGAGGTCGCTGGTTCAAATTCAACAGCGATCGTCAAATTTTATAAATAGTTTTAATTTCTTATAGTCCTTAATATCTAACAATGATAAAGTTGATAAGGTTTTATTTGCTTACCTCTGTATCGTGCAATTCGGTTGCGTTTGCCAAATTGCGCACTAAACTGAGAAGATTATCGCCCGTGTTTTGAATAGAGCCGCGAGGAATAACATCGATACGATCGTATTTGGTGTGATATATAAAGCCATTGATGGCCTGGCCCATGTCAACACCTGTATAGTAAAACATTTTGTTGATAACCATTTTCTTGTTAACAATTAGGTGCTTTACCTGGAATATTGCCGTATTGTGTGAAAATACGATAGTCCGAATCGGACGGCACAAGACCCATTTGGAAGATTTCCTCAGCCAGGGTGGTGGCAAAAGGATGTTTCGCACTCTGTTTGTAATACTGTGAAAAGATTGGGATTGTGTGATTGTGAGAGTTCAAGCGGTTCAAACAGTTGTTGACAAGGTCTTACAGTGGCTAGCCAGGCGTGTGAGGGGCCAGTTTGGAATAAAATCTCGCGTCCACCACTGCCTGCGGCATCCAAATTGACGACAGCTCTGCGAATGCAGTTCATGAATTGGAATCTTCCTTTTAACTTGAACTAATACCATACATACTTGCATTTTGGTGCCCATTTGTGCTGCGTTATGAAACCGTGTGAGGCCTGCATGCCCATTTCCTCGTCTCCGTTGAACAAAAAGGCGACTGGATGCTCGAAGGGTTGTCTGGTTGTGGCCATCACACGCAGCACCTCCAGCATGGTGGCAACCATGAAGCAATCGTCGCCAGCTGCTGGAGAATTTGGCACTGAATCGAAGTGGCTGTTGACCAAAAGGTACGACTCGCTTGCGGAGTTCTTTGTGCTCAGCTTGACCACAATATTCTGTACTCCTTGATACATCTCAAGCATGTCATAGTAGATGTGCGAGCCCGTAGTTTTCTGTATGTCAATCTCCAAGGTGAACAGATCCTCAAGGAACTCTTTTTTGATATCAGCTATTTCAGTTAGCAGATAAGCTACTGCATCCACCTCATTCGCATTGCTGCCCGTCACCTTGGGTCCAATGTTCACCAGATTGTTGAGCGTGTTATAGGCGCGATCTCCAATGAATTCGCCTGCATTGTCATCCTCGACGGTCAGCGATGTGGGCAGGCGATAGAAGAGCGGTATGACCACTGCGAAGAAGAGTAGGACCCAGAAGAGCAGGAATCCAGGGCCCAGGTACCAGGGTGGCCTTATGTTGATATCCTTTCTGGCCAGTTTCCTAGATAATCCGACGCCATTCTCCTCCAAAATCTGCAAATGATGTGCAACAAATTATTAGAAAATTGTCGGAATTATTAATTTTAAATGTGTTTACAAGTTTATCCTTATCGCTCATGCTCGATAGCTATGTTTTTCTGCAGATGTGAGTTCCGCGGGTTCACAAGTGAAACTACACAGTTCGGGAGAAACGTTTGAACAATTTATAGTAGTCTGGAATGGTATCATAAAGTCGGTGCTTCAATAAATAATCAATTTAAAATACATACATTTATTACGCCCATTAGCTTATTGCCTTCCAATGGAAGCTCGTGGCAGATCGTAATCGTGTGTGAAATTTGGTGACTATCCAAATTTGTATACCCTGTGCTCACAAATAATGGGTATACACAAGGGCTCATTTGGGCTAATTTTTCAAAAGAAATAATAGAATACATCTAAACTAAAAGGATCATAGATAATTCTTACGAAATAATAATTCTATATAATTATTTAGAAATATTCAGCACAAGTTTCTTAAAAGATTTGCATAAGGTTAAAATTTTAACAGATGAGAATCCCTTTTTTAAAGAAAATGTTCCCTTTTATCATATAATAATATATTTGATAATAATATAAACTGTCCTGTAGGATTCAATTTAAATGTTAAATTGAACCATTTTCTTTCAGAACCCTTCGCTACTCCGATCTATGCATCTTTAAGTCGAGCACTCCCCACTAGATCATAATTGCTATTGATAATATTGTTGTTGCTGAAAAAAAGTAGCATATAATTTGGAATATATATCAAATAGCAGGTTATCGTTGTTGTATGTTATATTGGGGTTAACTTTATCGCCGCAATATGAAGGCGATTATGTATCCATGGAGGGTCTTTATGCTCATATTGTAATCCAAATTTTTTCCAAAACCAAAGAGTTTGTTTGCTCTTTGATAAGATTGGCGCAAATTCAAATAGTCGTAAAAATTATGCTCGATAAAAATGATGAATAACATAAAGAAATAAACTTTAGTTTTGAGTCCTGCAAATGAATTTATTCCAATTGATTCGGTGCAAGCGAATAAATATATATTGCCTAAAGATGCTAAACCGATAAAGAAGAAGAATGCAAATAGTCGCGAATATTTAAACTGACTAATAATGTCGGATATCTTTATGATCTAGATGAAAGTGTTTGGTTAAGATATCCATTAAAACAAATTGGTTTTTGTATGAAAGAGATCCGTTCTTGAGCGATGATATAATAGCCCCTCAGAGGGAGAAATATAGAAAATCTTTTCTTTTTTACTTTTCATGATACTTAATTTATATTTAGCTCTGATCCAGTTGATTTGAATGAAGGTAACACTTGGGAGAAAACTACAAAAAAAAATATTGCCAAAATATGAATGCAAAACAAAAAAATCGAATTAAAGAAATATTTTAAAAACTCGACTGGCAACTCATTTGTGTATTGTGCCCATTGTACTGTGGCCTGTCATATTGACGGCCTCTGATCGTTTCATTATTTCGTCATGGTGGTCAAATGTCAACTTATTAGCATAAATGTGGCTGCTGTCGCCGTTTATCGGAGTCCGATCTTATCTCGGGACGATCGCCAATTGTCTTTGTTGTTGTTGTTGTTGTTGTTGTTGGGCACAGGTCCTGCGACAGCGACAAATCGTTGGCCATTACAATGGGCCCTGTGTAGAAGCTGGACTGGGGGCATGGACAGTGGCAGCGGCAGTGGCAGGAGCAGTGGCAGTGGCAGTGGCAGTGGCAGTGGCAGTGGCAGTGGCAGACACCGGCGGCGATGCAATCGAGTTGATGTTGATGTTGGATCTGATCGGACTGCCCCGATAAACGCCTCGTGTGGCATGTGGCATGTGGCGTGAAGTTGTTTGTTGCGCTTAATTGGATAGCATTTCGTTTGGTTTGTGTGCCGGGCTATATTTAGCAACTGACTGACCCAAAGATGTCTGCCATAAGGTTAACGGGCTGGCAAAAGTCAACTGCCAAAGCATTCCGAATCGAAGGTCCCAGCTAAGAGCTATGTTCAAGTGTGGAGACTCTTAATTTGGGTTCATAAAGGAGATTTGAGTAGTGACTAAAATTGTAATTAAGTTCCTATGAGGACGAACTTGAAAGAGCTCGAGAAACGAAAATATAATATAGTGTTTTTATGTAATTATATCAAAATTTTATTATTATATTATTATTATTTTTTTTTTTGTTATTTATCTTTTTTTATTATTTTTATTCTCATTATCTTTTCTTTGTCTAATGGTTCTTTCTATACATATTTCCTTTGTGATGCCTTAATTTAATTTTTGGTTAGGCTGACTAACTTTCCATTAACTTTCTTCGTTTAAGTTTATCTACTTAGCTATTTGTTGTTCCTTTTCTTTGAAATTTTTTCCTTATTAACAATTGTCGTGCATGTTTCACTCAAAACCACAATCATAAATCCAATTTTGAAAACTAAGAAATAATGATTTATTATTTTCTGATTAAAGAAATATAGTATATGCATATTGTGCCAAAACAAATTGTAAATTCACTTAATCAACCAAAGTGCTTGAACAATATGAATGCATAAATTCTAAATATATCTGTGCAGAAGGAAATGACAATTATAATATTCCAGACGATTTTCAAAATGCCTTTTCGTCTATATTTTAATTGTGTTTTGAGAATGCGTTATATATGGAGTACTACTTTAAGTATTATAGTTAATTTTTTATCAAGTATTCTTTCTATTTTTTCACACAGGCTTTTTCATCTTTAAACACATGCTATCTGGCATTGATTGGGACTTCACAGTAGTTCCGGAATTCCCGAAAAAAAAAAACATAAAAAGAAAACCCATAAATGGGTCTTTTGGTCATGCCGCCAATGACACAGTCCGCTTGCCTCCGCCAAAACAAGCCGCGCTGCTCGTTGCCGTCATAAATTGCAAAATCAACCAAAAATTGCCAATTGTCAGGTTGCCCGATTTTTTATGATATTTTATTTCTTTATGGCCCAAGCGCTGAGCGTCTGGAAAGTGTGGCCAATTTTCACTGGCTGTGCGATGGTCATTTATCTTAGCATAAGTTGGAGCGCGATAATTGCGTTCGATGGAGCCGGAGATTGTGGGGCTGGGGGAGAGCGAAGCGAGGCCACTTTGAAGTTCGCTGCCGGCAATTAGGCATGCCACATAAATTTGCACCTCATAGGAGCAGGCTTCAGAGGCGAGTCGCCAGAGTGCATCGATTTAAATAAATAGCATTTAAAGAGCATTCACAAATGCCAGGCTAGCGCCCAAAAAAAAAAGAGGCTCTATAGCAAGCCAAACACTCAAAGAGACCTCAGCCAAACTGCAATTAGCTGCGAGTTGCGATTGCAGACCACAAACAATTCCATACCAAATGGACAGAGGGCCAACAAAGCGTGCAGTCAATCATGCGGCAATGTGGAATCAGAAAATTGCCTTTGGGGCAGGCCTTTCAATTGTTGCCCCTTGCCCTTTCCGTGTGTGTGTGTCCAGCCTGGGGCATGTGATATGCGATGCATACGGCTCACATGTCTGCCTGATAAAAGGGTCAGACATTGCATTCAACGTGCCACAGCTGAGCGCACCAGATAATCCCCCCCATTGTTATGGTAGGCACAGAGAGCAGGGTATTGCTGAGGTGTACGTTTAAATTTGTCATCTCGCTTACAGTTGGGTGGACTTAAAGGGCTAACGCTTCACAATTGACCAAATGCGAAATAGGGGTTCATTTGCTGAAGCTGAGTTGCTGGGTTAGGATATTATGTAGCACAGTCAGCCACAGATTAGAAGTTAATGAGGGCCCAAAATTGTTAAGTGAAAGTTTTGGAAAAACAGGGAACTACAATGGGATACTTGGGCTATTTTAGAAATTTCGATTTCTTTTAGATTTTGTTAAAGAAAGAAGTTTGCAATGTGTAGGATTAATCAGAAGGGCCCCAATAAAAGTACCAAATTCAGCACTGGAACTATCTCTATAAAAAAATTAGGCTCCGTGAGGATTGTAAAAAAAGCGAAAATATTTTGAACTCGCAAAAATTAGAATTTATCTGAAAAATACCAGATTGACATTAAAGATAGCTGAAATTTTTAATTAGATATTGGGAATACTTTTAAAAACTGCGAATTTCTATAAATAAGACAATTACAAAGCAATTTCCAAATACAGCTATTTGAAACTTGGGATTTGCAGAAGGTAAGCGACTCAGGGATAAAATCTCTGAGCTCAAATGTTCGATACTTAATCAAAAAGATTATACAGAAGCCTGATTAAACGGAAGCTTAAAATCTAATAGACGGGAGGAGAGTTCAGCTTTATTAGATGTCTATTAGATGTCTAGCCTGTTGCAACCCTAACGAATAACCATATACCTTAGAAGCGAAAGTCAGATACGAGCATCTGTTGGGATTGCCACAACTGCAACTCAACCAAACGCAACAAATACGGGATTTATATTGAGTTTTGATCCGCCCCATGCCCTCGAATCGATTTGCGAAACACTTGCCACTTATCGCATTACACAATCTTAATTAAAAGCCGCCCTGCTGCAAGAATAAAAACAAATGTTTACTTTAAAGTCGATTGTAATCTGTTGGCTTCGGTTTGTCTACAGAGAAAGAAAAAGATGGTTAACTTACGTTTTCCCAACTGAAAAATGATTGAGTTAAAAACTATTCAGCCAAGCAGAAAAACATAGTTACCAACAAACAAGTCTCTTAAACTAAATCTATAATATAGTCGACACATTCAAATGATATACAAACATTTTCAAAACTTTAATGGACTATAGCTCGGCTAAATGACATCCGATCCTCTAGAGATATACCTCCTCGGACTCGTTAAACTATTTAGCATCGATTGGCATTAAAAGTGTTTGATTACCAGACTAACCCTATTTTCGTCAAAATTGTGATGTTGCCATTTTTCTTAAATTCGACCAAATTTTAGAATTCAATATTTCGAATGCCAATCGAAAGTCCTGGTAAGTATGAGTCCAACAAAGCAAATTATTTGGAAATCGAACTCTATATACTCTAGATATTCCAAATTTAAAATTTTTCACATACTCAGATACTCCAAATTTGTTTGGTTTTCTACCAAAAT